CTCTGTTCAACAGACGTTTGCTGTTAAAAATGTTCATGACTGCCTGATAAGTGCAGAAATCATCAGAATGCTTCAACCGATCAAAATTCTTATGTGTCCGTATGTGAGACTTAGGCGCACAAAGAAGCTGCATCTAAAATTTTTAGAGTCGCATGTATACAGAAAGTACCCTCTTGAAATTTCAGCTTTCTATCTTGTCCGATTGTGAGGTTGGAAAATTTTTTCGCCGAAAATTCTGAGAATTTTAGTGATGTAAGTAATTTTTGCACATTTTTTGATGTAAATCATTGGCCTATGCATATTTATTTGTCAAGCAACATATAATCACAAAAAAATGTCAAATGCATACAAACATAAAACATGGTCAATATGCAAACACGTAACTAATTTAAAAAAAAAGAACGAAATTTGTCGCGTGTTTCGTGAAATTTGCCTGTCTCTTGCTATTGCACGCAAAGGGCAAAAACGAATTAAAAATTGAGTACAGCTCATCTTTCTTCAGCATTCCTGACCGAATATATATGTAGAAGGTAAGCGAAAGTACAAGTACTAAAAGCATCATCAGATGCTGCATCTTCGAACACAGCAAATTGGAGGAGGGCAAAAAGTCTCGCTATTTTGGCGGCGCAAAATTGCACCAAAAAAAGAAAAAAACTGATCAAAGCATCCATGAAAGCAATTTAATTTCCATTATCAATCGTAAATGGACGTAAAAACCTAAGTTTGGCGCAAATCACATCTTCCAAAATAGTAGATTGCTGTAAAATTCGTACCCAACAAATTTTGCCAGTAATTCGGTTGAGACGCACAAGACACGACAGTACCTCCGACGTTGCACATGATGATCCATCTCTACCAGATCTGAGTTTCACGCACTTCACCAATGATATGATTCGCTTTGTTTAGAGCCTGTAATTTTAAGCTCGATCACGTCACACAGTGTGTGCAAGGAACTGGTGAACTGTAAGTGACAAATACCAAAATTTAAGAGAAAAATGCGACGAATCGGTAAGGTGTTGTTTTGCTCGCAACTGATGGATGCCATAATCACAGGCGGGCTCAGAGGGACGGGGGAAAGATGGCCTTTTCATCTTCGCCTCCCTCTTCTCCACCCCCTCCCCACCCCTCCCTCCCCCCAGTAGCATAGGTAGCAGTGCTAAAACTGTAGAAAACTCTCTTCCTCACCTTTGGTCGCCTCTCTCTCCTACCCCCTCCCCTTCCCGCTCGCCGCCCGTAGAAGCCATACACCCTTTTCCCTCCCCCTTCCTCCTTTCCCCTCTTTCCCATTTGTCGTTCCTTCCGGGAGGCCGCCCCTGGCCAGAATCAGCCAGACATACACAGCACAGATAATGGATACGAAGCAAAGGCATGGAATTCAGCAATAGCTCAGCATAAGCTTTACCGGTCCTGTGAGTGCATCCTAATAAATTCAGAACTCTGAGATTAGTCTGATTTTGTTTATCAGTAGCAAAAAAAGCATTAGAAATATACCTCAAGCATATCAGCTGTTTCTTTTCTCCTCTGAGCCATTACAGGGCTTTCAGCAAGCAGCTCCTCAATTATCTCATGTTTATACAATTGCCTCACAAGTTCGCTTTGTAGGTTATCCTGAAATTTTAACGCCACTGGTTCTTGTACTACACGATTTTTCGATTAAGCAAAAAAATTTAAAGTTGTGGACAAACATAATCTCCCCCCTTGCAACATATCTTTCGAAATAAATCTCCCTAAGCAGCCCCGCTTTTCAAGACAAATCAAAACTCCGCAACATTTTCAGTCATCAAGCCAAAACTGGAAGTAGTTCAGAAAATCTTAATGGCTATGATCTATACAAATTTTAGCTCCAAAACTGTTGCTGGTGGCTGTTCAAAGATCTACTCATACCGTCATTATACCTTGCTCCAATTAAATTTTATCACTGAAAAACATCAAGAGGCAGTATTTTCCTTTTTTTGTTGAAAGCACTAAAAAATGACCATTCAGAAGGAACCGGAAAAAATGAACATACCCGAACATAATTGACTAAGAAATGCATGATAGCTTTTGGTACTGTGTCCTGAATATTCTTGCGCACAATCATGAAATACCGCCCGATCAGCCGCTCTGTAAAAGAAAAAACAAAACTAAAACACTATCAATGCACACTGGGATAGTACAAATCCAGCTGTTTCGAAAATGCATTGAATTGAAGCAACCACTTTTTTTTGGCGGTCGTCACCCACTGGCTATACACAAAAGTGCCAGCAAGTACTCAGCAAATTTTACCTTTCCCCGGAAAGATGTTCTTGTACACTTCTCAGTGAAGAAGTATTTCACTTTTTATATTAGAAATGAGAAATACTCAAAAATTTGCAACGCACGACAAATGTTGGCCTACACTGCAACGCACGACGGAAATGATGTTCAAAACTCGTTGGCCTACTTCGGAGTTGTCAGGCGAACAAGGGGTGTGTTTGGATCGCCCAAATGGCTTTTGTTTTTAAGATTACGGTTCGACTTCCCAACAGCCGCAAGTTATAACTCCGATGTCAAAAAAGCCCGAATACGGAAAATACAATTAAAACGAGTGATTTCTGCTTCTAAACAAAAGATATGGCTCACCTATTATCTGGCAATCCCTTTGTTCACGAGGAGTCAGCTTTCGTGTGATTGTTTTTTCCGGAACTTCTGGCAAAAGATTGATTGCTTTCCGAGTGGCCGGCGCTAAAAAAGCGAAGTTAACGTGAAGCAAATTTTGAAAATAGTAACACTCACAACTTCCTCGCCATTTTACGCACTCTGATAGATGACGGTAATATCCGAAGATGCTCTTGGTAACAAATGCCTTAGCTCAAATTCACCAACAGCAAATTGGTTGATGAGTCTTTTTTTTTTGAAAAGCAAGCAAAAGACAAGTTCTCCCGTTTATCATTTCAGATATGTCAGTATGCAGATTTCAAATGTAAATTAACCGCGCCTATTGTTTTGCACTTTTGAGTTCGGAATAGAGGCCGTGTATTTAGTGATATTATATTTAGTGATATTATCTGAGTAGCACTACACCATCCTAAGCCGTAGACCATGAACCCTCCTCTTGACATGTTTTGAAGATCAAATCCACAAACAAGTCAAAAATGAGTAGCCTCTCAATTTTCGGACCCGAAACGGTTTAAAAAAAAATAATCATTGCCATGATCAAGCACTAACAGTGCTGTACATCGTCCTTATCCTTCGAGCCAGCACCAAAAAGCCATCCAGCAATGCGTGCTGTTCCATCAGCCACATTCTGCAAAAATTCTTCAAGTCACATCAGAAATTATCGCATTTAAAAGGCGAAATACTTTTTGTTGTTCAAGGCATTAAAGCTGACAGAACTTTCAGCAGTACTTGTCCGCGTCAAATCACAATGATAACCCGGTCAGGCTTACCGCTAAGGAAGAATAACAAACACAGATACGGTAAAACAATACAAACAACAACGTGCAAAGCAAACTCAGAAAAGTTGAAGGCAAATACAGTTTGTTCATAAAAGGCAGAGTTCTGCGCAAAATAGAAGCAGCTGGAAGTAAAGACACAACCAACTTCTGGAAAGACCGCCGATGGCTCCTTGTCTGAGAAGTTATTGAGGCAATTTTGAAAGTACATGCGAAAGCAATGAAAATAACAACCCAAGCTGGAACGCAT